GGTGTGCAGGCGGCAGGGATTGTATCCAATGTGCCATTCCCAGACCCCACAGAAACACCCAGCTTCGGAGGAAGGGCGGGGGAAAGGCGCGGGAGAGAGTGAGTCCGGATGCGGAGAGGCTCTGAAGGTTACTGGAGGAGTGATTACAAAAAGGATAGCAGGAAGCCGATACATTTTATATTTGAATAAATTTGGTTTATTTTAATCAAATATCAATAGCAGAAGGTTAAATATATTTCTAAGATCTTTCCTTCAAATTTATTAAATTTATTTAATTTACTTAACATAAGATAAGAACAAGAATTAAAATAGTACAAGTGCACTTGTCTTGATTAGTAAAGCATTGTTAAATGTCTTGCTTAATGGTATTTATTATTACGAAGTTTATGTCGTTTCCTGCAATCACCGTCTTTTAAGATTGCAAAAAAATTTGTATTTATATATATCATTAGAAATGTATTGCTACAAACTCTGTATCAAATTTCCAAAAGAAGTAGATGAACTGTTAAATCTAGAGATTGTTCCGGATACGGTTAAAAACAAAACAAAAAACAAAACAAAACAAAACAAAACCACAAACAAGTGAAGAACCCGAAGCAGAGAAATGTCACGCGGAGGGACACGGGGTCACTCATCCCACGGCAGGACCACGTACAGGGGGAGACGGGCCGAGATGTCGGGCTATGGCGCTGGTTATTTTTTATAGCCTTTCTCAAAGGCTTTTAGGGCAAAATTTAATTCGTCTGGCCTTCAGCTCTGTCTTCTTCCAGATCATGTGCTTCCTTTTTGGCCTCCCCTTCCTTTCCCTCCTGTCTGGAAGCGGGGAATTTGTCCTTGTTGTTCTCTTTTTTCCATTTCATCCTCCTGTTCTGAAACCAGATCTTTACCTGCCTCTCGGTGAGTCCTAGTGCGTGGGACACCTCGATCCTCCTCTTCCTGGTCAGATAGGGGTTAAAGAGGAACTCCTTTTCCAGCTCTAGAGTCTGGAATCGGCTGTATGTTTGTCTTCCTCTCCTCCTACCCGGCGCTGCTGTTTAAAACAAAAACACAGGGTTTTGGAGGTTGCTGTGGTCGTTCAAAACACGGCGCAGGCAGGGAGCGAGGGCTCAAGTCCCTCTGGAAATCCCTCGAGAGAAGCCCCGCAGAACGCAGGGGGAGAAAGCAGAGGGCTCGGAGGAGCCTAGAGCTTTACACATGAGTGCGGGAAAAATAGCGATAGCAGATGCACGAAGCGCCTCAGCTCTCCCCCCGCATCGGCGTTTGCGGGACCGAGTTTACGGGGTCACTTTATTATTATCTGGTAACCGGCACCCCCCGGCCCTGCACCCTTCCCGTTCAGGCATCGGCGGCGGGAGCCGGGCGAGCGTGTCAGCTGCGCCTCTATGTCCGAGAGGCGACTTTAAGGCTGCTCTTGGGGTGGCAACCGCCTTCTGCAGAGGTTTCTGTTTGCGCACTGTATCGCTTTATTATCGCAAGCCACCGCGGTGATAGGAATCGCGGGGAGAGAGGCAGGGAGAGAGGGAGGCAGAGGCAGGGAGCGAGAGGCAGCGAGAAAGAAGCGGGAGGAGGAAAAGAAAGTTTCAAACTCAGACGTGAGATGGAAGCAAATTTTTGACTGCGTCCAACCTTGTGGTCTCATCCAGGGAAACATTTGAGCAGGAGACGAGCTCTGATTTAAGTGGTCTGGTTCCTCGCCAATATTAGCACTGGACGATTTACAGTCAGGATATTGTACCAGCTCGGCCTCTTGCTGTGTCGTAAAAATCTGCTGTCTCTGTAAGTTATCGTATCCGTAAAATTTAGCGGGCTCCCCGTGACAGGTAACCCCGCTGCAGGGGGCAGGAGGCGGAGGCGCGGCGGGGGGAGGAGGAGGCGGCTGGTAGGCGGCCGTGGGGCTCCCCCCGGCCGGGTGGTAA